GCTAATTTTAATGGCAATTGAGTAGTTGCATTAATTGAGATAGAAGTAGGAGTTATGGTTTGGTTATTGGTTAAAGTGGTTCGGAAAGAATTTATGGCAGCTATAGAGAAAACAAAAATATCGAAGCTAGCTAAATAGAATAATCTGATACTATATAAAATTGACAATAGTTGATATCAGATTAGCTTTAATTCATTGATTTACAAGAAGAGTGTGTGTCGCACACACACAAGTACAAGTTATCTAGAATACAAATTCAAACTATTGTTACAATTTGGATAAAACAGAATCAACTGGTTTAGTGACTTGAATTGATTAGGTAATTTAGAGAGAATAGGTAATTTAGAGAGAATCTACAAAAGTAGTTACTGACTTGGATTTAACTGATGTTGCTGACTTAGTCATGTTCCTTGATGGCACTAAATTTAATTTTTTCTGAGTTTTATTCATGCAAAGGTTACGCACAGGGAAGGATTAGCACCCCTATAATGCCCGTTCCACGAATGGTACCATTTAATCATATATTTTCCTAACCTATTAATTTTATTGTTATGTTTCCTTAATTTGGTTTATTTAATTCATCTTTCATTCTGTAAATTAAAGACATTTTATTTTATTTTCTTGTGCTTGATGTACACATGATGTAATCGTGCCATGCATGACATAAAATCGAGATAATGCCAAACGAAAACTTTTTATTGAGTGTCCTTTTCGAATCCGTCCATCATGTTGGTGGGATCCGAGAGTATCCTCTCACTTATGGAAAATGCTCGATAAACTTGCCTTCGCAAGTTTTACGAGTAAATCCCATAATCGGGGTAATCGTTTGCGAGTAAAAATAATGTTTTAATTAATGTAAATCCTAGTACTAGCAAAAGCTTTTTACTAAAGATATTTCTTCGAATCCTCCCATCGTTCTGGTGAGATCCGAAGGTATCTTTTCACCTAGGGAGTTTACCGAAGAAATTTGCCTTTGCGAGCTTCCTCGAAAAGTCCCATCATCGGAGCCTATGCTCGTATATAGAATATTTCTACATGCCATGACATTTTACAATGTAACTACAGTACATGATGCACGTAATTCCAATGTTTGCTTTTTATTCTACTTAGAACTGATATATCCTTTTTTATGCATATTTATCGTGAATAATTATTTCACATTTACTTTTTATTTATTTTATTCCGTTATGTTTGTTAGTACATAAATACTTATGAGATTTTTAAAAATCACATTTTTAGACCAAAGTTTATTTATTTATTTTCTTATTATTTATTTATTTTTATTTCATAATCATTGTTTATTTATATGTATTTTATATATTTTATATTTTTATGATTAACAAATTTATTGACACCATTAATTTCTTATTTTTTATTTATATATTTGACTAATTGGTAAATTTGTATATTTTTATTTAGTTAAAAAGTAGGACTAATTGGAATTTTGAGTTTGGACCTTCCCATCGTACTGGTGGAGTCCTAA